AAATTAATTAGATGGCAGGTTTGTTAAATGAATTTAATAAATAGTATTAATTTAATGTTATTCATAATGACCATATCTTTCAATGGTTTTTGTACAGTAGTGGATTATCGTAGCTATTTGAAATATGGTTTGTTGTTCATGCTTTAACATGAAACTACCAAACCATTTTAACAAACCTTTACTGAAAGATTTATGTATCCAAGCGTAAAGGCAGGCTTGTTTGATTTAGGGCTTCATTTTAAACCTTTACAGGTGTTTTACAAATAATTAAAAAGAATAATATGATGTCAACTAACATATGTTACGACACTCACTTTTTTGCTTACCTTTTTATTGATATCTCGCAAATCATGGCATCTAATTAACCCATAAGGCCCATGTTAAATTTCTAAAAATTTAAATTCAGGTAGAGAAAAGCCCTTTAGTCCGATTTGTACCATTTCAGATTTATACCTTCCCATGGTTGGTTACGAGGATAGGTGTAAATGAATGGGTAAATGGGTCTGATGATGATTCGAGTGTAAATTAAATATTGAGATAGCCTAATTATAATTAAAACAACATGTCAAATTGTTTTCTTTCAGAACCTAAAACTTTGATATAGTAATTAAATTAGTAATTCTATCAAAAAGAGAGAAGTCAAAAGTACAAGCTACGTAGTTGAAAACAGTACATTTAAAACAAAGGAACCAGAGAAGTGTTAGTATTATATATAGCCTACATAATGTTTTTGTAAATTTTATTTCTTTTTTTGCTTTGGTTTAATTGATAATAAAAAGTCATAAAAACACAGTCAAGTGAATGAAGTAATACATTGTATACCGGTACATAATTTAATGTTAATGCAAAAGTTTATTTAAACATGTGATTTTGCAAATCCCATGGGGAATCTAGGTTGTAAATATCACCAATAGAACAAAAATCCCCGGAGAATCAGATCAACAACTTGATATTGTTTTGAGTAAGTTTCTGAATCAGCTATTTCAAAGTCAGTGGGTTTTGTTTATCATCAATAAACTACCCAAATACTTTAAAAAATATTCTATGAATACAGTACATGTATATTATGGGGGTTTTTACATTTATTTCTGGTTCAATGTTACATTATTCACAGAAGTTTATAGTAAAAAAAATTTAACAATGAAAGAGTATCAACAATCTGACACATAGTGCCTTCCAAATTTAACATGAAGGGTACATAAACCAGCTGACTAATAATGGGTTAATATAGAAGTTTACGCAACGATCGTTTGAAATATGTCGTAATAGTATAATAATTAAGTTACTAGTCCTTAAAATAGGTGATTACCGGACAAGTGTGGTCGGGATTACCATACGAGTCCGGTAAACACATTTTGGACGAGTGACGTACAATATTTTACGCCACACTACACTATTTTGACGAACTTCCCACGCAAGGATTTAGTCCAGAAAACAGCTGTTTGCCACCAGCTTAATCAAATGGGGTTTCATTACGTACTACTGTACTGTAATGGGTTTTACCTACGACCGTTTTTTAAAGTAGCCATTTCAGTCCAGTTCTTAGAATTGAAAAGTTTCACTTTACAGCTGTTTACTTTCATATCCGCATAGTTTCATTTCATATCCGTATAGTTTTCTCATATCCACACAGGTAACGGACCAATGAGGTTCAAGTATTGAGAGAAAAGAATTAAAATTGCAATGCAAAAATTCGAGATTTTGGGGGAAACTAAAAAAATTCAAATACAAAGACCCATCGAGTGACCCCTCATTTTGAAGGTCATGGTAAAAAAAACCAACAACGCAAACTAGAGGTATCTATCTCAGTTCAGTACAAGATGGCAGCCAATTGAAATTCTCATAAGTTCCCAAACCCAAAATGGGGGATTTTGGGGAAACTCAAAAATTTTAAATGATAAGCCCCATCGAGTGACCCCTCATTTTGAAGGTCATAATAAAAGAAAACTAACAACGCAAACTATAGGTCTCTATCTTAACACAGTAAAATATGGCAGCCAATTGTATATCAAATTGGTTGTGTTGCTAGCCTAGTGGTTAGCGTCTCGGACTTCGGTGCGGGAGGGACGGGTTCAATCCCCGGCACATCCACTAAATCTTCTCTTGTAACTTTCTCATAGAATGCCACTGGCGTGGACAAAAAAAAAAAAAAATTGCAAGTTATTTCCGATTTCTAAAGATTTCAATCAGCTTCCATTTTTTACTGGATTGAGATAGAAATCTCTAGTTTGCGTTGTTAGTTTTCTTTTACCAGGACCTTCAAAATGAGGGGTCTTTTGATGGGGCTTATCATTTAAAATTTGTAATTTTCCCCCGAAATACCCCATTTTGGGTTTGATAAGCACGTGGCTATTAGGCTTAAAAAGTACTTCATAACATGCCAAAAAGGTGTGTAGAGTTTAGTTTTCCTATTGTGAGCCGCTAAAAAATTTACAGGGGGTCTCCAGACTTGGAAAGCTGCAAGTTAAATTCAACTTCTGAGAATTTCAATTGGCTGCCATTTTTTATTGGATTGAGATAACGACCTCTAGTTTGCGTTTTTGGTTTTCTTTTACCAGGACCTTTAAAATGAGGGGTCACTCGATAGGTCTTTGTATTTGAAATTTTTGAGTTTCCCCCAAAATCCCCCATTTTGGGGATGTACGCCAAGTGACGGTTATGCCCAAAAAGTACTTCATAGCATGCCATAAAGGTGTGCCGAGTTTAGTTTTTCTAGTATGGGCCGTTAAAAAAATAACAGGGGGTCTCCACACTTTTTACTAACCCTGTATAAGGATTTGTACAGATTTAGTAGTTTGGCATAAACTATCACTTTCGTATGTAACTCGTCCAAAATGTGTTTGCCGGACTTGAACGACCACACTCGTCCGGTAAATACTTATTTTAAGGACTATTAACGTAATATACTATTACTATTACGCCATACTACTCTAAGATAACTTAAGAATAAAACATCTGTACAAATCCTTATTTCTCACCGACTAAAAGGACTAACTATCACTACTCATAAGGTTATGTTTTTAAAATAAAAATTCATGTTTTCGGCCCCTGGACTATATTGTTAAGACAATAATAGGTTTTTTACACACCTCAGTCAAATAGTCCAAAAATGATATGCTCAACAGCTTACATGTTTCGTTGCGAAGACAACATTTTCAAAGCTTGCAACTCGTCAAAAACACATTTAAAACACGGACACAAAAACACGTTTTTGAAAATGTTGTCTTCGTAACGAAACATGTAAGCTGTTGAGCATATCATTTTTGGACTATTTGACTGAGGTATGTAAAAAACCTATTATTGTGTTATGTTTTTGTTTATAACCACTCATTGCCAAATATAATCAGCTGCTGGGTGTCCGGTAAAAACTCATTACAGTACAGTAGCACGTAATGAAAACCCATTTGATTAAGCTGGCGGCAAACAGCTGTTTTCTGGACTAAATCCTTGCTGTGTGTCTATGTCTAAACAGTGTTGTGTGGCGTAAGGACTATTTACGCGAGTTTCGTACACTATTTTTCCTGCGACCGTTTTTTAATTACTAGTAATCACTATTCAAAACTTCTATAAGGTTATTTTTTTTCTAACCTCTCATTGCAACTGACAGTTAACATTCTAAACAGCTGATTAGTTTAAGTTCGAAGAATTACTGTTTTACTTCTTTTCTCTCAATCCTTGAACCTCATTGGTCCGTTGTTAAGTAAAACTATGCTGTTATGTAAGTAAACAATGCTGTTATATGAAACTTCCATACTGTTAAGTAAATCTTATCAATTCTAAGAACTGAATTAAAAAAGCTAGTTTAAAAAAAACTGTAGGTTAACAATCTTTTAGGTATGTATTGTGTTATTATAGAAATTATAGTGATTGAGAAAATTATTACCACTTGGTTATTTATTATTCGATTTTAGTAAACAATAGTTTTGATTTGGATTTGAACTGTGCATTTTCCGTCTTAATAATTGCTATATACGCTTACAACAAATTTGAAGTTTCTATCTAAAAATATCAAGTTACAAAATAATTTTTAAATGAATGAATCAATCAATTATTTAAAACATGTATACAGACTGACAGACGTACAAGTAGTTACTAGAGAACCATGTTTATATTGTAAGTGTTTATCTGAACCTAAGGAACAATTTTATATTAAATGTTCTAGAGAGTTCCAGGACACCCTTTATGTTATATATTTGTGGTTATATAAATTTGGATGTATACAAAATTTGGAATAGTGTATTAAATTTACACTCCAGACTTGTAGGTGATTATGTACCTAGTTTAAAACTATGCATTTTATAAAATATTGGATTACTTCAAGAAATAAGTTCTTTGAGTCTTTGATACATTACGCCCTTGAACACTCTGGATTAAAGGACAGAAGGGAAATGGATGCAACAGTATAGTGTTGAAGTGTTGAACATAAATGAGGCAAGGGCTACAGTTCCTTAGTCTGTGAGCTTATATTGATGTCTTCAATATTATTTCTAGAAAGGGGCATTAAAATCTTTATAAACACTAACGGGAAAGTTATATATTTATTTTGAAATGATTATTTTATATTTATGTACAAAAATACATAGGGGACACCTGTAGTACAAATAAAATACAAATGTAAATACAAAATACAAATGTTTTTAAAAAACTGTAAAATCAATAATACAATACTATTATTTTTCTATGTATGTGCAATATTAATGGGGTCGCGTTTGAGAGAAAAACATGTTGAATCTTATTCACAATTAATTCCCAATAACACACTAAGTCATGTAGACAACAATGCTAAAATGTTTATCAGCAAATCGGTAATGAGGTACAGGAAACAGAGCAGCCAATAAGAGTTTTCTCTGTCAACAGTGACTCTCAATACATGTAATTTGGGTTACGTTTGAAAAAAAAATACACCCTGTATGACAATATAATTTTTAAAGAAAAAAACTTCTGGTCCTCTCTCCCTACCTACTCCTCAACTTGGTGGGAGTTGGGTGAAGTACATAAAGTCGAGAAACCAACCCCCAAACACAATATGGGTTGTGTGGCTGCACTTCTTGTATTTTATCTTTGTTTCACATTTTCTGGACTACTTCAAGGTAACGTCCTATTTCTAAGTTTTTTTTTCAAATTATTTTTGTAAGTTGAAACACATATTGTTTGTGTGTTTTAATCAAATTTTAATGCAGATTTTGGGTGTTTAGAAATAATGGAGTATGTTTTACAATTTATAAAAACTTTGTAGCATTGTGATTTTTTGCTTACCCGAAAAATAAAATATTTGTTCATATAAAATCTAACGCTTTTTATGTGCTCATAAATGTTAAGTTTGAGCGTGTGTTTCAACGGTGTTTTTTCTCTTTTTAGATAAATTTAAAAAAATTGCTTTACTCATAGGCTACACTACAATAAAAATGGAATATAAAGATGTAGTTTTTTTTAGGGGTAAATCAATTTTAAAATGAATTAAAAGTAACAGGAAGCGAAAAAGTTATTAAAAAACAAAACACCCTCCACAAAAACTGGACGGAACTAACAACAAAATTATTGTCTTCAGCTGATCCATGAGAATCATAAATCTATGAAGAAAGAGTATGAATCCATTGGGGCACGGTATCTAAAATTTCACAATTTTAGTTTGTTCCATTTTCTATCAACAATATACTTGTGGTACTGGTAGGCCTATTTTTGTGTATTTTCAAGTCCTTGCAACTTCTTGTAGACAAATTTTACTCAAATACTTTGTTGGAAATAAAATGTAGTTTTTTTTAATAATATGAGAACTGGACCATGATACAATCAATAAACACATTAAATGGTGGTCAATTGTCATCCATTATTATTCAAACTTTCATTGCTATACTCCTTCCAGTATTAGCCATCTTCCCCTCAGGAGCTAACAACAGCATAAATCATGTTGTCATGCAACTGTTGTGAATCAGATCACCTTTAAAAACGTGCAAGAGTTATTTGCCTCTTGTAGGGAAGGCCATTTACTCATAACACTAATTTTTGATAGTATCAAAAACTTCATGTAACTATAACTATATACAAAGAACAAGTGTTTAAAATATAGCATTATAGTAACTTAGTTATTGTGAAATCCTGGCAAGACAATCTTTAAGCAAGGGGATTCTAAATTGCATGGTAATCTCTCAGGATATGATTCTATAGCTAAAAATAAGAAGACAAATGTCATGTCTACAAAGGTAATGGACATGCCGGATCACACTTTTGGTTAAATGAGAGCTTCTTGGGATCTGGGTAGGTACTTAAATCTTAATCTTAGTTTTAGTTTTATAATTATATTTGACCCGAAAGTTCAATAAAAAAGTCTTAGAACGTTAAGTTCAGTAGTTTTTGTAAAAATGAGTAAAATACCCCCGCCGCAGCAAACCTGCAGACTAAGCGAATTTCCATTTGCCTGATTGAATTTACACTAAAATGTCTCCTTAAAAATATCACATTTATTCCCTATTTAAATAGCATTAGTTTAACGAGTACTTAGGTTTGCTGCAACAGGGAGGGTAAAAAGGTTTTTTTTTTGTAAAATGTTAATAATTTAGTATGAAATGAATGCATTTTCCCAATTTGATCAAAATATGTTCATAAACAAGCAAACGACAACAGTTTATTCCCCATAAGATCGGAATTTTAAATTTATAGTTTTTTGGAATTTTCTCTGTAACCATTAGGCGCATAATAACTCTTCAATATACTAAATTATTTGTTTTTTTAAGCTCTACAAAATACATTAATGAAACCCCTATTAATCATACTAGGCTATAAAATCCACATTTAAAATGATTTAATAGAACATTTTTGTGGTTTTACAACAGGCGAGACATTGGAAGTGGTTTACATCCCTGTCAGAAATCCTCGGAATAATCCAGAAGCCGTAGAGACTACATTGCCCAGAAATCCCTATCATCCACTGGTACGATTCCGAACTGTAGAAGTACGACCTGCTTACTTCTATGTCTTGGAGAAATCTCCAGGTATGTTTATACTTTATACTTGTCGATGAAATGGCGACCATACAAAGTAGGTATTTTAAACCAAGTATGAATGGAGATGAGTGAAGGGTTTGCTAAAAAACTAGTTGCATCAAAATATCATGTCGAAAAGCGTAAGGACAACTCATAAATAAAATATTTGAAAAAGTGATAATATTTTTATCCTAAAGAACAATTTTTGAGTGGCATATCAAGTCACAATTTGCAAAGAATATATTGATGGTCAAAGTGTCTATCACACCACTTATACATTTTTAGATGAGCTATCATAAAGTAATTTGCAAATGTAAATAGTGTTCTTAGACCACTACTGTCATTATTTTGTTTTTTGTACAAAAAGGTTTACTCCAAACTTTATAAAAAACAATTGTATTCATAAGGAAATATCCATAATTCCTTTTTTCCACTAAAATTTAAAAAAAAAACAACAGGATACCTACCTATGGAGTTTGAAGAAGGAGGTTTCGGTGACCTTGAAGAAGAAGACTATTAGGGGATATTAAAAATGTCACAGTTCTATACAAAATTTCTTTAGAATAATTAATTCATGGTCTTTAACCCCATCGATGTAAAATAACTCTACTGGATAGCGCGCTGTGTGGTGGAAAAACGGTCCGTGCCCGCCAATCGAATTGGCGGGATACTGAGGCGGACGGGCCGAATGAATCTCTCTGTTTTACACAAACATACATTCACTCAACCTGCTCTGCTACATTTAACATAAAACATAAAACATTTGTTAACATAAACATTTCAAATTGATATATTATTTTTCTGGAAAACCCAGTGCTTATTACTATGTAGTTTGTTTTTACCTTAACATCTATCTTCTATAATATTAAAACGAAATAGTGTTTTTTTATTTCACGATTCTGAATTAACCACTCGATGGATTTTCATGATTTTTGTGTTGAAAGAAAGATAATTTTGAGAACTAGGGAATGTCGAAGCCATAATTTTAGTTTAGGGCCCCAGTTTTTTAGAAATTAAGTTTTAATTTTGAAAAAGTCTAGCAGCCGACGCTAAGATTCTAAACTAGCTTTTGGCATAAAATAATTTGCTGAACATAACAGCTGTAAACATTCAGCTTTTGTGTCACAAATTAGCATTTCGATAAAAATGTAAAGACATATTTAGGGTTGACTTATTTATACTAAGGTAAACGCACCAGTAGCTGACAGTATAAGAAACTATACGCACTTAATAATCCGTGGTTTTGAATAAATAGGAACTAAAGAGATATTACGGATTTTATGTGATTCTAAATTTAGTGTAGTTTTCAAATTTGTCATACAAAAAGAGGTTTTTAAATATATTTTATAAAATTTTTAAACTTAATTCAACCTTTGTACGTGTTCCAGTGGCTGACAGTGAAAAAAGTGCTTGTACCAGTAGCTGACTGTCAGTTGTACCAGTAGCTGACACTGGAACTATAGATGTACTAGCTGCTAAACCTAGGGGTTTTATAATTTATAAGACGAATAAAATCTAACTTAATAATTAAATTATAAAATCATGTAAAAGACATTAAGACAATTTATTTTATATATTTTAAAATAAAAAATATTTACATTAAAAAATATATACAGGTTGGTAAAAAAGTCCCTGGACAGTTAAATATTAAAAGAAATAATGCAGATAGAGCTACAATACTTGGTACAAAGTTACAGGGCATAAAACTATATTTTAACACATATTCAGTGATCCAATAACTCTTCAGGGGGACGGCCCACAAGGAGTCGGAAGAAAATCTTAAATGGAAGCATAGGCCAATATGCACATCAAATTAAAGGTCTTCTTTAGTAGAATACAATACCGCAAACCGCACTTCAAAAGGTTGATCCTGCGCAAAATGGCAGATGTTCAAAGATTTCTTGAATCCGCCATTTTGAATCTTTGAACGACTGCCATTTTTTACTCAGGCATTCTTTTGAGCTTGAATTTACGGCATCGTAATCTACTAGTGAAGACCTTTAATTTAATGTGCATATCGACCTATGCTTACGTTAACAATTTTCTTCCGATTCCTAGGGCTGTGCCCCCTGAGGATAAAGCGTATAATAGCAATGTAAATTAAATTGAACAACTGTCATTTTGTGCAGGGTCAACCTTTTGAAGTGCGGTTTTTGGCATTGTATTCCACTAAAAAAGACCTTTAATTTGATGTGCATATTGACCTATGCTTCCATTTAAGATTTTCTTCCGACTCCTTGTGGGCCGTCCCCCTGAAGAGTTATTGGATCACTGAATATGTGTTAAAATAGAGTTTTATGCCCTGTAACTTTGTACCAAGTATTGTAGCTCTATCTGCATTATTTTTTTAAATATTTAACTGTCCAGGGACTTTTTTACCACCCTGTATATATCTATATATATAAAAGGCAAAGCCCTCACTGACTGACTGACTGACTGACTGACTGACTGACTCACTCACTCACTCATCACTAATTCTCCCACTTCCCACTTACCTAGGAGGCTGAAATTTGGTACACTGATTCTTTAGGCATTAAATAGGAAAACTAAGTGGTTTTTATTCTGATCGGACTCTCGGGCTCCGCCCCAGTGGCTCTGGAGTTTCCCATGTTAACCTAATGAGTACTCATATTTAAATGGAATTAATGAATCATAACAGCTGTTTCAATTAAACAAGTTGGTTCTGTTCTGTGATGTTCAATAGCATTAAAGTTACAAGGATTACCAACAGAGTGCAGCACTACTATTTTTTTTTAATTTATGACAACAGCTAATTTGCAACCAAAAGGTGAGTGAGCGTAGCGAACGAACTTCAACCCGGAGGCGAGTTAGCGTAGCGAACAAGCTAACCTGAAGGCAAGTGAGCGCAGCGAACGAGTTCCAACCGTAAAGGTGAGTGAGCGTAGCGAACGAACTTCAACCAGGACGTGTGAGCGCAGCGAACGAGCTCCAACCTAAAGGTGAGTGATCGTAGCGAACGAACTTCAACCAGGACGTGATTGAGCCATGCGAACGAGCTCACATATGAAGTTAAACGGGGCAAAGCCCGTGGGTACAGCTAGTATTTTATATATATTTAAAAAATATACATTTTTTAAAGATAATTTGGCTTATTAATTAAAAAATTAAAATCATTTTATAAAAATGTTAGATTACATAAATTATAAATAGCATGCAAATTTCGATGGGTAAAACCAATTTAATATTGTGCAAGTAGCAAATATCCCCTGTCAGCTAGTGGAACTTGTATGGCTTTTGTGTACCAAAGCCTGACATTGATATAATTTTAAATCCAACACCCCTAACACCCTAATTTTATCATGAAATTGTCAACAAAGGTATAATTGATAAAAATAATGAGCCTAATCATTAATACTATTTAAGAAATTTAGCGAAATGACAAAAAACCAAACTTACCTTCTTAACAATTTCATTAAGGGAATCGACTAAATGTGATGTGTACAGACAGGGTCGCTTTCAAACCACCACCAATCAGCGAGTATGGGCTAAATTTCACTGATTTGTTTGTAAACAAATCAAAGAATAAACATACCCTAGTGGAAGTATCACTAAGCAATCATTAAAAAATTAAGTGATATCACTAAAAATCCTATTGATTTTTAATGATATCATTAGACATCATTTAATAACATCATCTAACCAAACAAACCTAGTGATGTAACTAGATTTGTTTTTAATGATATCACTAAAGATCAGTATAGTCATTAGAAATAACTAGGATTAAATTGTTAATCATTAGGTTTCTACTGACATCACTATAATCATCAAGCCAGTCACTAGAAGTCATTAGAGAATTTAGTGATATAAACTTAAAATCACTACAATTGTTAGTTAAATGTGAAAGATTCAAAACTGACTGTTGGGTATAGCCAAGCAAACTCAATATGATGTAATACAATAATTTATTTCCTTATATTTAAATTTGAATGTATATTAGTGTTACAAGGTACATAGATCTGAGCTTAAAACCCCCTTTTGATGCTTTGTCAAAGAAAGTAGAAAAATTGGGAATGTTATTTAAGTTATATGAGGTGAACTTTAAATAAAACTTTATTGAATTATAATATTTTTGGAATCCTAACCTGTTGAGTAGTTTTATTTATTTATACGCGGTACAACCATTTTTAAAGGGTTGACATGCTGACATTATAATGCAATATTGAAAGATTGTGATTCAAGATGAACGAAAAGTGATTAATGAACCCAAGTGAGATACTACGCCGATTTTAAAATCTGCATTTTGCTGCAGATTTGTAGGCGAGGGGATTGTCGGCTGGGAATCTGTAACGTACAGGTTGTTACCTGTCCGCGCACACGGTCGACTAAAAAATCGGCCAGTCGCCGATCTTTCATTGTACAGTATTTCAATAACTATAAGATCTTTACAACCATTAAAACATGCTTAGTCAAATTTTTGTAAGTTTTGTTTCCAAGTTTACCCCTATTCAATCAAAGCTGGATTACCATATATTATTAACAGGTATTTTTTAGAAAGAAATTGTCCAAAAATCCGACCTAACGAAGCCAAACGTGGACGCCCGAAAGTTTTGGAAACTACACGGGAAGAGCAAGTGCAGGCGGCTAAAAGGAATTATAGAGGGACGCACACTCAAATCAAATCAGGGATAACAAAAAACAATACTCCAAAGACCACCCTGAGGTAAATAGAGCGGCTGTTGGGCGTTATAACCAAACACACCCTGAGGTCAACAGGGCGGCTGTTGGGCGTTTTGCCAAACGCACCCTGAGGTCAACAGGGCGGCTGTTGGGCGTTTTGCCAAACGCACCCTGAGGTCAAGAGGGCAGCTGTTGGGCGTTACAGCCAAACGTACCCTGAGGTCAACGGGCGGCTTTTAAGCGTTACAGCCAAACACACCCTGAGGTCAACAGGGGAACTGTTGGTCGATATAGCCAAGGAAATCCTGACACCTCTCGACAAAGGGTGCAGATTTTCCAGTTACATAATCCTTTGCTGTCTCACCTTCGTC